GGGGGGCCCCGCCTGCCGCGCCGCGGCGTTCCGCGCTTGGCTCCCGGCCCCCTTGCGCCCCGCTCCGTACGGGGCGGCCAGAGTCGCCGGGGGACCCGCTTGGTTTGGGCCTCACAGAGGCCGCGTTCCCCCCTCGTCCTCACGTGCCGCTCGCCCGCCTGCGTTTCCTGCGGCTCCGATCCGCGCCGGGAGAGCGGGATGCTCCGGTGCCGCTCGTGTTCCGGGCGGACTCGGCTCCTCCCGAGCTCTCTCCCTTGGGTTTGAGCTGCGTCCTCCCTGGACTCAACCCGTCCCCCGTTAACCCGCGGCAAATCGGATCCCGGCTCCTCCTTTTCCGAAGGCCCGGGGGCAGGAGGCTGGGAGAGGCTCTGCAGTGACGTGTTGGCAGGAAGCCCAGGGAAAAGCGCATCCCGAGCCGCGGATCGGCGCCGTACGGACGTAGCGCTGTGAGCCCAGGCTTCCTTCCAATGCACAGGAGGGTCTTTCCCCCACTTCGCTCTGGTTTTTAAGACCTTTAAGGCTTTTTCAAGTGGAAAAGGGGGGGAAAAGAGAGCTTGGCAAAGCAAATGTCCCTGGGATGCTGAGGGAGGCATCCGGATGAAGGCGCGAGTGAGTCGAGGCAGGGACGTGGATCCTGCGAGGCGCCGCTGCCGCGTCCTTCCTCCACTCGCCACTTGGGATTTGCACCGTCCACTGCCCATTTCATAGTTTTTATTTATGTATCTGCGTGTGTTTTGGAAGGAATCGTGCACCAGCAGCCCATCCGCAGGGGAAGCCGAGCGGGAAGCCCGCAGGAAAAGCGCCCTCCCTCTGCTTAGCGAGTCCCGCTCCCGAAGGGAGCGTTCCCAGCAGCCGGGGATGGAGAAGGCTCCGAAAGGAGGAAATTGAGACTTTCTGGAAGTGCTTGGGGAGCCGGCGGCCTGCGGCGCTCGCGTGTCCGCGTCTCGCGTTCCCGGAAATAAAAGGCCTCCCGCGAGCCGAGCGCGGCAGGGCTGCGCGTCCTGCTCCTGCTGGCTCCGGATTTCACGTGAGTTTTGGCTTTAATCCCACTCTCCTCCGCCCGGTCCCTCTCACTGCTTTGATCCTGGCTTCTCCTTGGCCACCCCGACTTGTCCCAGCCTCGTGTGACGTCCCCGTGGGGTCGCCACCGGGCTGGTCGGAGGAGCCATCCGGGTGGCACTTGTCTGGTTTTGCCATGTTAATAACGCCCCGCAAAGCTTCATCCCTGCCAGAGCTGCCCTGCGGAGGGCACAGGGAGGGACCCGAGCTGTTTTACGGCAGGAATCTGGGGAAAAAGCAAGGTTTTTCTCTCTGTGCTGAGAAACATGCAGTGGGTTCCTGTCCAACGCAGCTGTCGGCTGCCGCTGGGCGAATATCAGACGTTTGAGCCGCGTTCGTGTCGCAACCACGCGTGCGTGGTGCGGTTTATTGAAGCATCTTGTTTATGCCTTTAAGCCAAGGAGACCTCCTAGTAGCTCTACCCTTGCTGGCTCTCGGGTCCACGCAACATCCTGCCCTGCAACGAGCCGCTCGGGAGACGCTTTTCCGTTGAAAAGCCCCGGAACGCAACTACCCGCGGGGCTTTCGAAAGCCCCGGCGGCCTCGGGAAGGGGACGCGCTCGGGGGCAGCCGCGGGGCTCCCTAGATGTGGGCCTCCAGCGAGAGCCGCTTGCGCGTGACGTGCTCCAGGTGGGCCTTCTCCGACGTGTCCAGCTCGATGCTGTACTTGGCCAGGATCTTCAGGATGGGCCGCAGCTTCAGCCACCACTGCTGCTTCGGGATGCGGTGCCTGGAGGGGCGGCACGAGGGGCCGGGGGGGGGCGGCTCCGACGCTCCCCTCTCCCGCGGGAAAAGCCGTTTTCGGCACCCACTCTGCCGCCGCCCCA